GACAGGTTCCAGCAGAATTTCCAGACTATGGAAAAGAAGCCTAGCAACCTACTTTTGAAAATTAGCCAATGAAAATCCTATGAATCACAACAGATATTGTTTGATATAGTGCCAAAAGATAAGCCCCTTAGGTTGGAAATTACTCAAAATAAATACATAATAGCCATAACAGTGGACTCAAGCATACTAGCAATCATGAAGATGGTTCAGGACTGGGCAATGTTTCATTCTTTTGTACATGGGATCACCATGAGTAGGTATTAACTTGATAACAACTAACAAGAACAGAAGAGAAGATGGTTCAAAGATCCTCTAAGTAAAGACCATTGTGATCACCATTCAAAACTTCATTCTTCCCACTCATGATGGTGTAACTCAGGGAAGCAAAAGGATCTATAACATAAGGATCTGACTTGGATCAGAAATAAAACTAGATTTCATCAGAGAATGGCGTTAGACAGTGGAAACACCATACTATTTCCTTTAATGTTGTCCCAGGGCATTGTGAAAGATGTATTTGACAGACTAGGAAGTGGCTGATAAAAGAAACCAGGTTGCAAGGAAAGACAATGTATAGGGCTCCAAAAATAATAATAACAAAAAAGAATGTATCCATTTGTTCTGGTAACCTAGTGCCACTGTTACAAGAATATAACACAAATGGGATGGCCTTAATAAACAGGGGTTTATTCTCTAACAGTTTGGAGCCTTTGCGACTGAGTTCCAAGTGCTGGTCTCTAGGGACTGTGTGAAAGCCCTTCAACCTTGGGATTCAGCTCTGCCTCCTGCTTCCCGGCCCACTGGAGCTAGAGGCTTTTCTTCACTCAGACAGCTGCTGGCTGCTGAGACTGACAAACCCAAGGTTGATAAGTAAAAAGGCACAGTCCTGATGTTACCAAACCACATGACAGGCCATTAATTTAAGTCCATTGAAAGTCCCAAGATTGGCAGAGCATGGCAGGCTTCTGAACAACGACATGGCTACATGCAGGGTTCAAGCATGCCATAAGCTAGAGACCATTCCCAAAGCTGCTTCTTATATACAGGAAGCTGACCACATCTTCCCTAAAGCAGCTACTCAGCTGCTTGTGGTAAATCCCACCATGTAGTTGACTGCCAGTCTCATCTTGGGGAATAACTACCACTAGCTGCCCAGCCACTCAACCAGGCCCAGCCAAGTTGACATACAACTTTAACTACCACACCATTCACCAGGATAAGATTTGAAAACTAGGCTTTGTGAAGAGAAGAGTGCAGTGTTTCAGTGTAGACCCCATGCTTGCCTCTAGAAAGTGCATGTACACTCTAGAATGAAGATGGCTGGGTGTTACCAATGGAAGAGCTCTACCATTAGGGGCCCAGGGGGCTCAGCTATGGGACCCTGCTTCAAAAAGTTGCAATATGAGAAACAAAAGACCTTTGTCAACTGGAGAGACAATTGTAGTCTACAATATACAAGGAGATGTCTCAAGAAGAAACAAAAACCAGTAGCAAATTAGTGTTACCACTGGGGAGGCCAAAGGAAAGTAGTGGAGACATTCTAAGTCTGGCAGTGTGTGGACATAGACAAAGGACTGTTGCAGGTGGGGATAAAGTCAGAGGAATCTAGAAGCAAAAGAGATGATATAAAAGGCAGTAGAGCGAACAGTTTTCCCACACTAGAAGTTAACAGCTGCCATGAAGATGGCTGCAACAGAGTATCAGCAGCTCAGGGGCTCAAGGTGTCATTACAGCAATGCATAGGGCAAACATCAGATAACAAAATGGAGAGAATAATGTCTGAAAAAGGGCAAGACAGAATCTTGCTAAGGGGAAAGCATCCCACAAAAGGCAAGTGGAGAGAGCTTTCTGAGGCCTAGAGCAGTGACCCTGCCAGGTAGCAGCTTTCCCAACTATTTTTTCCAATAGGCTGCTTCTTCTGCAGCCCCTCCACTGCTCTACCCCGTAAGCCTATGCCAAGAAGCTCCCAGCTCTTTCCCAATATCTGGATAGTACTGTTAAGGTGAAGGAGGGAGAGAAGTGGGCACAGCAGGTTATGGTTCTTAGGAAATGCAGGTGCAAGATGCTTTTGCAATAGCTATAGGTCATTGTGCAACTCATTGGTAATCTCTGGCTCTCAGATTGCTGGACCTCTATAAAATACAGACACCAATGAGACCCTCACTCATAGAGTTGCAGTGAATGCAGATGAAATCATGGCCTGAGAGTGCTCTACAAACTCTAAGGTCATATGTGCATTGTGATAAATACCAGTGGCAGGTTTCTAGGTGGAGGTGAGAGTGAGTGAGCCAACAAGGAAGAAAATTACTTTGCTTCTTGAAGGGGGTTCTCAGAAACCAGCACTGGTTGGCTCAGATTACAAAGCATAAACAGAGAGTCTGCCAAGAAAAGATTAGTTCATCTGGAGTTCCTGGAGCCCTGGAGGAAACAACTGTGAGTGTCTCTGTCCCTGCCATTCATTTTATTTTCCCCATGTCCTATGATACTCCCTTGCCTAGCTAGGCCATTTATCTTACTTGTGTGAAGAAGGGAGGATCTGTGCAGCTATTCTGATGCAGAACCTGTGAGTATAGGAGGTGGGAGCATAGTGGAGTGATAAGGGGCTCTTCTGCCTCTCACTTGACTACTTTACCTCACTGAAAAGTTTGCTTTCTGGGCTGAGGGACACAGGCAGGTGGGATGTTATGTCAACCCAGATCCCAGGTGTCACTATACAGAGACCTCAGGTGGAAATTTAACTCTCCTCTTGGTTCCTTCTCTGTCCCTAATTTCTTCAGAAACAACGAAAGTGTGGGGAAAACAAACCAGGCATTTACAGGCCTGGGTTCTAAGTCCACACCACTACCAACTACCTGTGGGACATGAACAAACCTGATTCTTAGCCTCAAATTGTTACCTATAGAATGTGCTTCTTGGACTAGACCTCTCAATTTTCTGATACAAAATCTTTTAAAATAAATATTTCATTTTTTAAAAATAAAATATTATCTGGAAGTTTAGTGTGAGTTGAACACTGCTTAGGTTGAGGGGACACATGGGCTCTTCCCATTTCCTCTTCAGCCCCAGCTAAGGCACTTCTGCTGAATCCCAGGTCAGTAAATCTATCAATTAACTCCCTTCCTGCTACAATAGGCTGTGGTATTTTCTGCATCATCTTGAGCTAATGGACAGGATACCAGTTGCCTTTTATTCTTCTCCAGATCTGAGGTGGCAGCACAGTAGGGGACACTGCCCTTGCTCTGGCCTGGACTTGGCCCCTGACCTTGGTACTCATGACTGAGCCTCTGTAAGAACAGCACTGCAAAGCTTCTACTGCTAGCCTTCTCAGCATGCTGAGGAGCTCACAGAGTGGTAGCACCGTGCCTAAGGCATCTGGCTGCTAACCAGAAGTTTGGTGGTTCAAACCCACCCGCCACTCCATGGGAGCAAGAATGGGCAATCTACTTCTGTAAAGATTTACCACCTCAGAAACCCAATGGGGGTTGCTATGAGTCAGAATCGACCCAATGGCAGTGTTTTTTTTTTTTTAAGGCACTCTGGTGGTGTAGTGGATAAGGCATTTGGCTGCTAACCAGCTGCTCCAAGGAAGGAAGATGGGGCAATCTACTTCTGTAAAGATTTATTCCCTCAGAAATCCCATGGGGGTTGCTCTGAGTGGGAATAGACTCCATGGCAATGAGTTTGGTTTTAGTTTGAGGACACCCAAGTAATTTACAAAGTCAAAATTGAAGGAGGTTAGCTCAAACTGGGAGCTTGGGTGATGTGCCTATAGCATTTGACTGCTAACCAGAAGACTGGTGATTCAAACCCACCAGCCACTACTAGGAAGGAAGGTTGGGTAATCTACTTCTGTAGAGATACTGCCTCGGAAACCCAAGGAGGGGTTGCTATGAGTCGGATCAGACTCCACAGCAGAGAGTTTGGTTTTGTTTTTTGGTTTAGTGCAAACTAGGGGTCATTACACCCCAAAATCACCAGCAGCAAGGGAAAGTAGCACTTCTCTGGTTAGGAAGTCCCTCCTTTGTCTTCACCCAGCCTGCCTAGGGACCCTCTTTTCTTTGCAAATCCCCCTCTCCTAAGGTTCCTGGGGTTTTGCTCTCAGCCTGTGTGATCACCCCCCCTCCCCGGGGGGGGCTCTCTCACTCTCCTAACTTTTCAGGTTCGCTCTGGGAGAAAAAAGATGCCCAACATAAGAAGTGACCTAGATCCTACCCCTCACCCTGATTTCACTTGCAGCCAGTTTCCTGAGACCCTCTCGGATGCCTGGATGCCCCATTGGACAGCTGCTACCCCCACCTCCAGCTTTCTTTCTACTTGACTGCTTTGCCCACGTCACCTTGCCCACTCCATGTAAGATGATCTGTGCACTACCCCAGGTGTCCCAGGGTCTCTGTTGTTGTTGTTGTTATGTGCCATCTCTAGAGCATCTAATCTGTGTCTCTGAAAACTTCCAACAGTTTTCCCTGGGAATTTCCTATGGAGATAGCATTGAGTCCATGAATGACCCATGTCCTGGAATTCTGGCTTCTTCTCAGGCCAGTGCTGTGGGTAAAAGTATCACTCCATCCAATGCAGTTAGTGAGAGGAAAAAGGTTTTCCTTGTCTGAGCTAAGCTATTTGTCTCAATTGTACATACAGGGAGAGGGAGGTCCTGGGAGGGGAAGTGCCTTACCCAAAGGCACTTGATGAATCCTTTCTGTTGTGACAGATGATCTCAATGAAGTATGCTACATCCTAGCTACTGTCTGATAGCAGTGTCCAAGAGAAGGCACAAGAAGGGATGACACAGGACATTTGAGAACAGGTGAAGACTGCTGGGGACTATGTCAGAACTCCAGCTGTGCAATGCATATCCTCCAAACCAAACCGTGTGCTCAACTTGTCCCTAAATCTATAGCAGAAAATAGGAGGCATAGCAGGCTTCTCATGACCCTCAGGAGCTGGCCAAGCCCTAAACCATATCCTGATGTTCATTACCTTCCTGTTTATCCTCCCAGACCATGATGCTCCTGCCTCTCTCTATGCTGATCATGTTCACACAGCTCTCAGGGTTCCTGGGAGCAGGAGTGAAGATGCATTCCCAGAAAACCATGGCCAATGCTTGCACTCTGGTCATGTGTAACTCCCTGGAGAATGGCCTGCCTGGTCGCGATGGACGGGATGGAAGAGAGGGTCCTCGGGGTGAGAAAGGAGATCCAGGTAAAACTGAGACCTTAGACTTTCCTGCCAGGGAAGGGGTGGGCATTGGAATTGTAACTCTGGATATTCTGCTGTGGAAGCCTTGCAGCTGGGCTTCCTCCTCCCCAGTGGGCTGGGTAATATCGAGCCCACATAAAATACTTCTTGATCAGTTGGCAAATGGATGTTGCCATGAGTCCCTCCAGTGCCTCCTTCCAACATCTCAGCTGCCCCGACTCTTCCTAAAAATCCTCCAGATCTTTCCATCCCAAGAATGAACAAAGAGGGCAGAGTAAATGACTGGTAGCTGGGGCCCCCCAAACCAGCTCCAGAATTCAGCAGTTATTCATTCTGATTGAATTGTGCCTGTGCCAAGGTGTTAAATATTTTGAATACCAAGCTTTCCACATGAAAGATGGGAATGGATGAGGCTCCAGACTGAGGCTTGATATAATGGATTTTCTGTAATTTATTAAAGAGGGAGGGAAAGGATGTTCACATTTATTTATCCAGCCCTGTGCTTCAATATTCACTTAAGAAGTTCATTCAATCCTCATACTTCATTCCATGTGGGTATCAGAACAGAAAGATAGGCACAGTTCCCTGCACAGAGCCTTTCACCACCAGCAGTCATGGTCCCTCCCACCACACCCTCTCCCCAAGCAGTCCTGGCTCTTCTTACCGTGGGAGCACAGATCCAAATCTGAAATGTCACCTACCCTCAGCACAAATCTCTAAATCCTCCTTCCCTTAAGTTCCAATTCTTCCTTTATGAAGACAGCTCTATGTGTTTGTGCTGGGGTTGGGCTGGGCTGGACAGGATAGGGGCTATGAGAGATTAGCACCATCTAATGCCTGGTGTTCCTCACTTATTACCCTTGTTTCCAAGCTTAAAATTTAACTACAAGTCTATTGCAGATCAGAATCTGGTGCTAATCTTTGCATATTGTTCAGTGCTAAGCATAAAGTAGGTGCTCCATGGATGATTCATTAGTGAGCAAATGAATGAAACAATGAGTAGATGGATAAACAAGTGAATGAACAAGTTAGCACCAGCTGTCAGACGCCATTTCTGATATAAACATTGTTTCTGGGAAGAGGAGAGCAAGGCACCAATGACTGATGGTAAATGCTGGCAGATTGTCTGTTGTCAAAACCATGGCCTTCGGGCAAGAAAAAGGAGTGCTGCACCACAACAAATGTGACAGGCTTTAGCTTGCATCCAGCCTGCAGGTCTGACCTCAGGCAAACCTGTTTCCTCACCTATAAAATGGGGATGCCCACACCCATTTCTGCATCTCTACAGAACCAGGGTGTATGGAGATGGAGGTGTCTATGCCCTGTGGTCACTGAAAGAATGCAGACAAATTGACCCTCTGAGATAGTTGGCTCCTCTTGGGCAATGGCCAAATTTATATATATTCTCCCCACCCCCCACACTGCTGCAGGTTTGCCAGGAGCTATAGGACAATCAGGGATGCCTGGACCACCTGGCTCCATTGGGCCCAAAGGGGACAATGGCTCCACTGGAGAACCTGGACCAAAGGGAGATTCTGGTACACACGGTGAGCAGTAGGGGAGGGAATACAGATGGTTCCAGGTGATACTACTGCCTGCCAGTAAAGGGAACACTCTCATGTTCCAGGGATACACCAATGATCAGGCACAGAGACCAGCCCAGAAAGAAGGAAGAAGGTCATTCTGAGAGGATACTAGCTGATTTCAGGGCAGATGGGGGCTACTAGCTGATTTCAGGGCAGATGGGGGCTACTATTTGTTGCCACTCTTTTAGGATGATACTGCCTGTCTGACCTCTACTATTGCTCTCATCTTGTCATGCACTTCCATTTCCACGATGACTCAGTGTCACTGAGTGGATGAACCTTCTTCTCCAGGACCTCCAGGACCCCCAGGTGTACCTGGTCCAGCTGGAAAAGAAGGCCCCTCAGGAAGTCAGGGAAACATAGGACCTCAAGGAAAACCAGGCCCCAAAGGAGAAGCTGGGCCCAAAGGTAGGTGGTTGATCTGAGAGAGAAGGCAGGAATATTGGTGGAAGTCCCCACTGGGTGCTATGGCATGTTCAAGGGGCTAAGAAATGCCCAGACCATCAACACGGCGAAAGCTGTTCCATGGACTGCTGCCAGCTCCTGAAGGGTCAGATCTACTGATCCCCAACCTCTCTTCTCCTTACATGCCCACACTGACAGTATTCTCCTGTTACCGTCCACAGAAGATCCTGGGCAGTAAGGAGCACAATCTGCCCAGTTTTCTTTCATTCTGAACTGTGGATGAAAAGCTTCACTGCTAAGGAAATAATACATGCTGAACACACTCTCAGCAGTGTTTGTCCCGATTTTTCCCTTCCTCAGGAGAAGTGGGTGCCCCAGGCAAGCAGGGCTTGGCAGGGACTAGAGGTCCCACAGGTTCTAAAGGAGAGCAAGGAGCCCCTGGTGAGCAGGGAGCCCCTGGAAATGCTGGAGCAGCAGGTGAGTGAAGGAAGGATTTTGGGCTAGCCTCCCATTCCTATGTACCTACATGGGGCTCTCACTGCCCCCAGTACAAAAACCACCAAAGTCAGATACAGAATCTCTGGGCAATGACTGTGTAGCAATGGAGAGTGAAGTGCTGAACAGTGAGGACAGTTAATACAGGGAGGTGGGTTGCTGAGTGATGGGGACATTCAGTGTCCTGGGGAGGTTGGTTGCTGGGTGTGGTTGCTGTACAGGGAAGGTTGATTGTTGAGTAATGGTGAAAATTGGTGTATAGGAGGGCTGTATGGCTAGTGGCTGTGTTCTGAGGACAATTTGTATATGAGGAGGATGTGTTATTAGGCAATAAGGACAGTCAGTGTACAAGGAGGGTGCAAAGCTGAGAAATGTGTTCATAGCTTACACAGATCTTCTCCTCTGACCCCAGGACCTGCTGGAGCTGTGGGTCCACAAGGACCTCCAGGTGCTAGGGGCCCTCCAGGACTGAAGGGGGACAGAGGTATTCCTGGGGATAGAGGTGCCAAGGGAGACAGTGGGCTTCCAGGTAAGGTAACCATCCCTGGCTCTCATAGCCCCCACTAGAGCATGGGTTGGAGGGCACAGCTCTTTTCAACTCATTACTGCCCCTCCTCCTTGGATATCTGTGCCATGGATTACAGGGATTGATTGGGATTCAGCAAGGCAGACAGGCTGGAAGACAGGAGATTAAGCTCTGGTTTTAACCTCTAGTACTAGCTGGAAGGCAAACTTGGGCAGTTTCTCCATCTGACCATTAGGAAAACTATAGCTGCCTTTCAAACTCATAGGACTAATCTGACCATCAAATAACCCAATGAATGGGAGCACTTGAGGAATATGTATTACTGCTAAACAAAAGGGAAGTGCAATCATATTTCCTGAATTTAGAGTTAAAATGTTATCTGGCTTGGTGTCAATAGGAGGCAAGGACATACTGAAGTATATAACACTTTATGAGTTACACTTCACAGCAGACCCACAGGAAACCCTGGGGGCAATAGTTGCTAACTGTGTGAATAGATGTGACCTAACTAGGGTCAGCCCCAGCTCCTCCCCCAGCAATTATGCCTGCAATTGGGCACCCTTCTCTAAAGCCCGGGCTCTGAGGCATTTCTGGCTGCTCTGGACATGTCTTCAATTGACCACTCTCTCTGATGCAGATGTGGCTGCTTTGCGGCAGCAAGTGGAGGCCTTACAAGGACAAGTACAACACCTCCAGGCTGACTTCTTGCAGCATAAAAAAGGTGAGTTCCAGCACCTGTACCTGGGTCAAGCTTGGCCCCAAACTGGGTCTGGCTCTTGGTTTGGGCCTGGCCTAGGGCTAGACCTTTGGCTGGACAGTGGTGAGTGACACTGTCAAAATGGGTAACACCAAGATAACCCCAGGGTGTGCAGTGGTGGTGGCATTGTGAAGGGCTGGGCCTCTCCAACTCATTGGAGGAGGGGACAAGGAGAATTTTTCTGGCCAGTCACACCCATGTGGGGGATAAAACCATGGGTTACCACCCTGGGGAACACCAAACCTAGTGATGCCACTGGCTGGGCCTGAGGTTGGGCCTGCATCTAGAATGGGAAAAGGGCTGGAACCATGGTTAGGACTACACCTGGGACTGAAGCAGGAAGTGAAAGTGAAGCAGGGGAATGCAGGGCAGCTGCATGCCTCAGGAGCTGGAAGTAGGTTCAAGGGACAAGAAAGAGGATGAAGCCTATATTATAAGTTTCTGGAGCTGGTAGAAGCATAGTCCCCTGAGGGTCTCAGACTCTAGAACTCCCTCCAGCATCATTCCACATGTATCCCAAACCAGATTACTGCCAAGTTCTGTTTAGGTCAACAGACCTTCTCTGCTATCTATGCTGTAAAGGTCCCTGTGATAGAACCTGAGCACAAAGACAAGGAGACACCTTTCTTCCTTCTGTGGGGCCAGGTGTGGGAGAGCTCAAAGGTGTTTCTACACAGACCAAGGCAGCGCCAAATCCAGGTTGTAAGGTTGGTTCTTACTTAGAATAAGAATTTCTTTTGAGCATTCACTGTGTCACTCTCCCTCCTTCCATGAACATATTTTAACATGCACTTACTTACATACATACTGATGCAAACACACATGTGTACTTAAGCACAATAACTCACTGCATAACCAGGTACACACATGAGAACACACACATATGTATACACATGCAGATATGCGCACACATCCAGGTGTACTTCAGCATGCTCACGTACCTTCAGATGATGCATAGACACATTCCTATGTATATGTGCACATCTACCAGATGCCCAGACACAAACCCAGGAGTAGCACATACACTCTTGCTCTGACCTTGCCCCGGGCTGCTCCAGGTACCATCCTGAGCCTGTGGAGGATCTGTCTCCTGATGCCTTGTTGAAGCCACTCAGAGGAGAAGGGCAGTGGGTCAGGGTGCAGCCTGGACTCTGGGCAGCCCCAAAAGTCCAGTGTAACCTTTGCAGAGGATTACCATGCAAAGGACTGAAGCCACAGGGATAGGAGAGGCAAACAAAAAGAGCATTGGACATATCACATGTATCACTGTGCTGTGAGACCTCACTTCAGAGATGAGGAATGTGAAACTCTTAAAAGGAAAGTGACTCTTCCAAGCCCACCTAGATTGCCTTTCCAGGATAGGGCTGAACATCTGGCCTTCTGGCTCCCAGCTAAGGTTCTCTTCATCACTGCCCCTCGCCTTGATGTGCACACACACACACACATACACACTCACCCACACCTCTCAGATGCCCTCATTTCCTCACCCAGTGGGTGATGTTGACTGACTATGGCATCACCCACATGCAGACCAAAGATTTTCATATCATAGCAGTCAAAGGTCCAACCCTACCTTTTCATCCTCCCTCTACCCCATCACAGGGCACAGAGACTCTGTGATCTGCAGGGGTGAGTGAGGGCTGACTGCATAGGTTTTCTGTATGTTTAGAGACTGGCCTGTGCATCATAGTGTTATTTCTGCACAAAGTCCAATTCTACACAGTAACTGAAGTACTGACTCTGGCATACATGGGGTGAACTAGAGACAGCATATTTGAACTTTGAGGTTAGAATGTCCTAACTATATGTTTGAAAGCTGTGTGTCATTGTGTCTCTTATTTAACCTCCCCCAGTTCCAGTGTTCTATAAAAATGGGGTATCATAGTACCACCTTACAGAGCTGTTGTGAGGATGAAAAGTGAATTATGGCACTGGGACTGCTCTGGAACCATGTTTCAATTTCACTACATAAATGAATCTGGGAGATTCAAATTGGAACACCGAAGTTGCAGAGACCCTGAAGCCTGACCAGGGGCAACCATAGCCCCAACCTCTTTCTCTCTTCTCCTAGTGGAGCTCTTCCCCAATGGTCGGGGTGTTGAAAAGAAGATCTTCAAGACAGGTGGCTTTGAGAAGTCCTTTCAGGATGTGCAGCAGGTATGCACACAGGCTGGTGGGCAAGTGGCCTCCCCACGCACTGTGGCTGAGAATACCGCTGTGCAGCAGCTGGTCACAACCCACAACAAGGCGGCCTTTCTGGGCATGACTGACACCAAGACAGAGGGCAGGTTCACCTATCCTACCGGAGAGCCCCTGACCTACTCCAACTGGGCTCCAGGAGAGCCCAACAACAATGGTGGAGCAGAGAACTGTGTGGAGATCTTTACCAATGGCAAGTGGAATGATAAGTCCTGTGGAGAACAGCGCCTGGTGGTCTGCGAGTTCTGAGCTGTGGGATGGTAGGGAATGTCTAGCCTGAGAGCCTGCCCAGAGAGTTAGGACCCACATCTGTGTGTTGCCTACATCCCAATAAAAAGATGACTGTCTCTCTCAGACAGGGCTTTTCCACAGAGCTAAGTAGTTATCCCAGAAAGGAAGGTTACTGTGGATGCCTCTCTCAGATTAAAGAAAGGAACTATCTTCACATAGTGAGAGGTACAACATGTTAAGCACTCAGCTACTAACCTAAAGTTGGTGGTTTGAACCCACCCAGAGGTGTATCAGAAGAAAGGCCTGGCAATCCACTTCCAAAAGGTCACAGCTATGAAAACCCTATGGAGCAGTTCTATTCTGCAACACATGGAGTTGGAACTGACACTATGGCAACTAATTTGGTTTTTTAGTTTCACATATTGAAGACTTATCAAGGGAGGGAGGGGTCAGCCTGCTTTCCTAGTAGCAAAGGATAAGATTAGGTCTCCAAGGACCTCTCTGTCTCAAAATTCAAAGGATCTTCCTCAAACCTCACCCTCCTTGAACTATCATCTGCAATTTACCTGATTCATCACTTTCTCCCCCTTGAAGACCACTTCTATCATGTGTGCTAGTGTTTGCTATTATTGACTTAAGCAGGCGTTGCTCTGCCTTATTAGGGAACCCAATAAAGGGATGTCCCTAAGCTTTATCAATAAGCTGATTGAAGTTCTGAGACTTCTGTAAGAATCTTATTTCTTCTTTCAGTAGGGCTTCAGAAGCCCAAGAACAAGAAACAAGGGCAGTGTTTACAGCCATTGAAACAATGATGTCATCTCCTTTTGAGACCTGCAGGAGATCACATCATCCTCCACGTACCCCAGAGCAAAATCTCCAAAATTTCCATAGTTATAGGCTCCAATCTTTACCCCTCTGTACTTTTGACAGAATGTGAGGTCACCACCAAATGAAGAAGTACTTAGTAGCATTCTCCAAAAGAACCTGATCCAGAGAAAAGTCTAGATTCTTTCGTTACTGACTTAGAGGGGAAAAAAAAAAAAAAAAGATGCCTAGTGCCTGTTTCTGACTTGCCTCAGAGAGATACCCAGAAAGTCCACAGAAAGACCCAGTGAGAAGCTCACAGTTCTAGCATCTCCAGGGCCCAGGCAAGAGCAGCAGTGAAGCTGTGCCCCAGAATGGCTTCTGAACCCAGATCTTAGAGAAAGCAGGTGAGGAGAGGGTGGGGATGATGGTGTGGGTTCTGCACTAAGGACCTCGCAGTCTAGGTATGGAAAGAGACAGACACACAAGCAGAGAACAGTCAATTCCAGTGAGGGCTTACTGGACAATTAGGACTACCGAGGTCCATCATGACAAGACACCTATGGTCATCCTGTGGTAATGTGTACCTGGATCTGCTCTGAAGAAAGGCATTCCAAGTGATTGTGGAAACCAGGACAAATGTGCCAAGGACACAAGCAGGAGTGCCCAAAGAGGTGCATGGGACCCCAGTGCTCACTTGGCCCACTATCATCCTTTTGGGTTTGCTGGCCAGACAACAGAAGGCAATCAGCAGTAGGCAGCAGCAAACCATAAGCTCCTGTTTCATAGAGCTGCTGCTGCCTGGCCAAAGAAACCCAACACCATCCATAAGGGCTGCCCAGAAAGGAGACTTTTGCATAACCAGGTATTCCAACCTTTGACATTATTCCAAAGTGAGTTGTGCTGCTTCTGCCTGTGAATCCAGCTTGGGTCTAAGGCAAGCTCCAGAGAAGGGAGATGAATGATACATTTGTGAGGTGGACTTAGATTCATTCATTCATTTGTTTTTTCATTAATATAGACTAACCAAGTGTCTCTATGCTTCCCAGGTCTTTGCTAGGCACCAGGACTGTAGAAGTGAATGATAAAGTCTTACAGTGATCATAGCAACAGCAATAACTAGTGTGTGGATGGCTTTTACCACAGGACAACACTGCCCTCAGTGCTTACATGTATCAGTGAAATTATTCCTCACAATAGCCTTGTGATATGTGCATGAAGATGATCCCCATTTTACCAAAAAAGGCACTAAAGCATAGAAAGGGCAAATGTCTTGCACAGGGTGACACAGCAGCAAAGTGGTGGAGCCAACATTTGAATTCAGGGCATCTGACTCCAGAGTCCTCACTCTTAATGGCCAAGATCATTTCAGATGACAATAATTGCTAAGAAGAAAATAAAATGGGGTGATTGAGTGAGATGGCTCATTTCATGTGTGAACTTAGATAAGGTATTTAACCAGATACTAGTTTAAACATTGCCTTGAAGATGTTTTGTACAATCAGTTGATTTTAAGTAAAATATATTAGCTTTGATAATATGGGAGTGCGACATAGAAAACCTACTGAATTTTAACCCTACAGCCTACCCTACAGATTTCAGACTCAAGACAGCAGTATCAGCTCCTGCCTAAGTGTCCAGCTTTTTTGCTGATTCTATGGATTTGGGACTTGCTAGCCCCTACAGTTTCATTAGTCAATTCTTTAAAATCAATAATTTCCATTTCTCTGAATAATCCTGATTGATGCAATGGAGTTGGGGCTCCTTAGAGTCAGTGGTCAGGAAGGGACTTGGAGTGGGGGTGAGAGATGTTGGTGGCATATGATCTAAGATCTGGCAGGGAAGGAGGATCATGTTAGCATCCAGGTACCCTAGCATACAACTTGGGGGCACTTGTCACCTCTTTTGTCCATGACTAAGCACTCACAGCCCTCACCCAAAGACTCTGGAACTCCAGCCTGGGAAACCACAAGAGCCAATGTTCCTCAGTGAAAGGTGTGGAGAGACAGGCTTAGATATGGGCTGGGGGATGAAAGCCTGAGTGCCCTGACACCATGATGCTGAGATTGCCATGCACTGGATCTGCTGGTTTCCACAAAGACATTCAACACATATGTATGCACAAACCTGCTCATACACAAATACTTAATTCTCTATTCAGGATCTCACCCACCCATCCACCCACCAACTCACATACTCTGATATTCTTCAGAGCTATCCCACCTGGAGACTCACTCCTCAGTGCCTCAGATAGCATTAAGGCCATGATCATGCATAGGGAAATATTTGGGTCAGTGGTTGTTTTTCAGTAGTGTAGGTCAGTTGAGGAGATTACTTAGGATTTTGTACTATAGAGTTAAACAGGACCCCCTTCACCATAGAAGGCCTAGTTTCCTGGATCCAGGGGCTCCCTGTGATGGTGAGAGGTAGGTAGAATGTAGATATGGTCACACTCCCAAACCTGCCAATCACCCACTGCCTGGGGACCTTGCTGAGAGAACAGATCTCTGTAATTTGGATTCAGTGGGCCCATAGTAGTGCTGAGACCCTGGGATTTTGCCAAGTTTCAAAGCACCATCATGTAGTGCTGGGATGACCACTCTGCAGAACAGCCCGAGGGGCACATGCACTCTAGGTTGCCATGGTGAGCCTAGTCCAAGACTTTCCTTATACCCTTTCACCCCAGTTCTTCTGAGTGTGTCACCTGCATTTGCGTAGACAAACATCTGGTTCATAGTTGGATATACCATCCCTCCTCACACAGACAGTCATCACAATCCTCTCCAGTCAGCTAGGAATGCCCTCTCCCCCAAGGAACCTTCCAACAAGCTCCTCCTCTCTCCCTAAAAGTCCACTTCTTAGCTTCCCCATGATGATATGAGAACCCTTCCTGCTTCCTGAAAAAATATCCCTGATTTCTGGCAGGTTCCAAAACACAGACTAGTTACACAGTAATGAAAAAAAACCTTCTGGTTCAGAGTCATGACATATGTACCATGGAGGCACTTCTAGGGACTGGGTCTCTGGCTCTGATGGGGACCCCTGACATTGGTCAGATCTCTGACACCACAGAGAAAGAAAGCAGACTGGTACTGTCAAGAAGGAGATTTGAGAAATGTGACTGGTGGCATCCCAGCACCACCCTCTGGCCTGGACATGGCTCACACAGTAAGAACAGTGGAGCTGTGACTACACAGAGAGAATGTCCTGCAGAAACAAGGCCCACAATTCCAGAATCCAGAACCTGAACTGGAGCCTCACCCCAAATGTCATGAGCTTTGGTAGCTGCTCTTATTCTAGCACAGGAAACAAATAGCAATAAAACTGGCTATCTCTGCACTTCACAGAGGAACACTGATTCACACACATAATTTAAATCCAATCCACATCTCAAGGGCAATGTGTATTAGACATTATAACTTACCCAGAGTGGCTTTCTATAGAATTCAGAAATAGCTAGTAAGTGCTCAAACTACAATTATTTTGGTCAGCATAGACAGGTAACACACTAAAATTGTGCTCAGATTCTGCAGCTCTGAAATGGTCTCTGCATATCTGACTCCATTTGACAACCAAGTCACCAGCTGTAGAAGGAAGATGCCTTTAGAGACTAATATACAGACAGGGAAATTGAGGCCTATGGGGCTGACATGACTTCTCCATTATCACTGAGTGAGTTTGTCAGGGAGTTTTCTCCTTCCAAATTTTGAATTTCCCACCCACCCAGCTGCCTCCCTATCAGCTCTGATTTGTCACAGGGAGGCCAAGCATTGTTCTTCCTCTAGCATGGCCCCAGAGCCAGAGCCCAAGCTCCAAAGAGGTCTGAACACTGACTTCCTTTCCAGGCATACTCTGAGGCCTGACCTTCAAATTCTTCCTCTGTAAAAGAGGCAAGAGATATCAATTATTTGATGTCCCTGAGTGATGGAAACTGCCTGCTCACAGGGAGAGAGAGAGAGAGAGAGAGAGAGAGAGACAAAGTGACTGTTTCCATCTTGTTCCAGCTCCTGGAAAGTCTGGATGGGCTACAATTCCTATCTTTGCACTGTCATGAAAATTCTCTGGGTATAGATTAACTGAAATTTCTCTTCAGGGAATTTCATTGGTTGCTGATGGGAATTGGGACATGAATATTGGAGGTGGTCTCTCTCAATTCTAGGATGAGGGACAAGATGGTGACAAAGGGGCTCAGTTAGAGAGAGGAGTTCAGAAAA